AGAGCTGATAGACACTTAACGAATAAAATGTTGTTTTTCGAAAGTTGCATTCATATTTTCACGTCTAATCAAAATGGTAATGTGAAGCAACGACAAGTATCAGTTCGCACTAAACAACTACACTGCTAATCACAGACTAGTAGTCCATATCTGAGAAAATATGCGAAAAACGCAGCTCACTCACCACAAAATAGTTTGAATAGTCGATGGAGAAGAATGGTTGGTCGAATGGATTTTGTTGTGGAAGAATTGGATTTAGATCAATTGGCTGTTGAAACGAAGAGTTGAACGGTGAATACGAGGACGAATCTAAAGAAAGAAAAGAACAATTTGAAGTATTGATAGGAGTTGATTCGAATGATCTTTGTGCAAGATTCGAGATTGGGCTGACGAAGAGCTGATTGCATGGTGATGACATTCTGATGTGATCTCTGTTGGATAAATGTGAGATTTGGATGGCTTCAACTCTATTTTATAGAGTATTCTTTCGAACAACGCATAAATTTTGTGAACTCACAACAGTTGACAAAATTTCAAAAGAACAGGAGAAAAACGGAAGAACTCGTTAAAACTTCATCAACAGTTGACAGAAAACTGTTTCGACGCAGCCAAAAACAACATAATTACGTTAACGGTTCAGTTTCGAATTAACAATAACAGTAATCTAGTGTTTGAATGTGATCTCTGTTTGCTGTTTGAATTCGTGTAATTATGTTAATTTAGTTTTTGGGCTCCTCTTTCTGCTTTTCAATTTGATACGAGCATCATACCCATAATGTGTATTTAGTAGAGTAGTAGTGATTACATTAGGAATAGGAAGTAATGGCGTAACCACAGTACGGCGGCATCGTACCACCAAGAAAAAGTATAAAATCGGGTAAAAACAAAACTTACACTACCCTAAATAAGTGTTTGAAAAACACCACGGCGAGGCCGTACTACCGTCGTTTTTCTCGTTCCGCCACTAATAGGAAACATCTTTACATGAGTGCAATTTAGCGCGAAGTTCAAGTCCGCTGTATCATATATGACGACTATAAAATGAACAAGTGGGGAACTATGCTCAGGTGTCTTTGCAAGGCTCCGATGAAATGTACTGAAGCATAAAATCGACGTGCTTCTGACAACTATGATGGTTTTGGCTAGCTAATGCTGCGATTCATTCAATGAGAAGAAGAATGCAACGAAAGATATATAAACAATTAAAATAGTGTACCTTGGAATAATTATGGTTAGGTCTTCAAAATTTGGTCGTATATCTGTCATGGTTCACTCAGTTTTATCCGGGAAAAGTGATATTGTACTGGTAAATAGCGATGACTTCTAACTATCAACTGATGTAAACCTTTTCCTAAAAGTCATCAGCATTAATTAGCACTAATTAATTTCTAGATAGCAATTGAGGTAATTATGGTCAATACAGCAAAACAACTAAGTTTCAAGTTGAAACTTTCAACACAAGATTTAAAGAAAAATAATTAAAAATTATATCATCTTGTAGAGAATTTCAAGCTCTATCACCTGTCTGGATTATATAGTTTTGTGATTATTAGCCAATAAAAATGATATTTCTGAGACCTCGTCGATTATCCGATCTGCTATCTGATGATACGATAACGGGATTATGTAGGATTTGCCTAGCTTCTAGAAATGTGTACCAGAGCCCCAGACGAATCGAATAATTCGGCATTCGATTCGATCCGATCTTTAGCCGAATCGGATCGAACCGAATTTCATTTAAATCGAATCGACCTAAGTAGTTCAGTTAAAGAGTATAGTTGTTTTGGTTTATCAACGTAAAGACCATTTGCTATGTTCTTGATTGGTGTACTTCCTATATTTGGCTCGTTTAGTGAAGCGATATTCTTTTATCCCCGTGTAGCTCAGCTGCGGCTGACCAAAAATTCAGTGCCACTGACCAGAATGTAAGCCAAGATTCCTCAAGCTTAAATCCATCAACAGTCAAAATACAGTTGATTTCCAAAAAAAATATCATTTCAAAATATGCTATCTTAATATAATGGCGCGAAATAATATTGATACACTGATAAAAACAAGCCCAAAGAAGCTCCATCATGATTCAAAATTGTGATGTATTTCTTCGTGGTCTAACCACTCCTGTCTTCATGCTGCTTTATGAAAAATGAAATTATTTAATTTATCCAGAAAAACCATAATACTAATCAAAACATTTATTCTAACTAGTGGCTAATCATAGCCGTTTATGGATAGAGTACATTCAAACAGGCGTTAATCTGTGATGAACTGCAACAAAAACGAGGCATGTCGGTTATCTCATACATCACTAGATGCAACAAAATACTATCGAATATAATCTAAACAAAGAAAATATTGGCATAATCAATTTATATCGAACAGTAATCATCGATTCCTTTTTATGGACCTCCATCAGTAAACGTTATTTGAAAGTAAACTGCAAATTTTTCGAGGATATTCACTACACAGAAAATCCGTAAATATAAAGTCAACTTTTAGGTCAATCCAGAGAAGTTCAGGTTTTCAAGATGATTTTCATGACCAGAACGTATTCCACGTGAATATTAGCTAATGACAATCCTAGCAATTCGTACTCCATGTTATACGAAGTCGCGATTTAATTTCGATTAGCATACCCACTAGAATCATAGATGCCAATGGTGTTATTTCTTCGGTTACTTCGCTCTATTGAATTAACCATTTTTGTGTATCTTTTAATTGATTAGTTGAGTTGGAATCCACAATAACGGAAAAAGTATAGATTAACAACAACGATAAAAACAGTTTAAAATTAAAAAAATATAACAAGCACTGGGTTAATATCGAAACTTCAATTCTCTCGGTCTCATATACTCTCTAACAATATCATCTGTCACTTGCTGTCGTTTCACTTGATGATCGGCTACCAATTTTTGTAGTATTTCAATTAACGTTTTCTTTAATTCACCCGTCAATATTTGACCACTCGAATAACCCTATAAACAATTATAACTTAGTAGTATCACCGCCAATCAACAATAAAACCAGAAGTATCATGTGAAATAAGAGAGAATAAAGGTTGTAACTGACGTGTTTAGCTCAGTTATTTGAAATCTTTTTCAGCTTTTATAATAGTCACACCATCGGTCTGTTCAAAAATCTGACCTTGATGTTAACAATTCTCGCCTTACTTGATCCTACTCCATATCGTGGCTATTTAACATCTTCATTCGTCAATTACCGTGTATAGCAGCAGCACAAAACGTTTTAGTAGCTTACTTCTCGAATCTGTTGTAATTTCTCATCATCGTCTAGGAAAAATCGTAAGTACTGGTAGGATACATCCACCTCACAATCACCACCTTTTTCACGATGTTCTTCGATGCTTGCTTTACCTCCACTGAACGCATGCTTATTGATCTAAAACGAAGTATATAATCTACAACACTAAGTAAGGCTCTTTTCTCTCTCTTCATACTTTATTTTTGATATCTTTGGGTGTATCGGTTAGAAATATCGATGAATTTGGATCGGACGAACTCATTTTTGATTGTGAACCTTGTAATGCGGGGAAAAAGACAGAATGTAACAGCGCCGGTTTTGGAAAATTTAGTCGCGGTGCAACATCGCGTGTCATTCGAAAATACGGATCCTAAAAACAAACAAATGTATAAAACGTATAATCAAAGATAACGAAAACTGAACTATTCTTAACACTAATAAATTTAAATGAAAGAAAGATTACATTTGAAAGGTAATAAAACTGAATAAACTACGCACACAGACATCACTTCTAAACTAACCCTCAGAAATTCTGAACGTCACGCTATAGCAAAATCAAGCCCAATGTTCACCTCTTCTTGTCAGTAACTGCTACGCAGAAGCTGAACCCTTTCAGCCTTTCACTCTATGTCGAGAGAAACCTCTATTGAACCTACTTGATCAATAGCACAAGGTATAAAACAAGCTAGTTCTTGTTTTTGTTTCTCTCCAAAAATAAATGGGAATGTTGAGCTAATGGCCGGCGCCGCTTGAATGGCCGGAAAAGCAATTTTGCCAATACAGTCACTATCACCAAAACCAAAAATGCCTAAACAGCAAACTTGATCGCAATTCTGCAAAGACCTTATTATCTCTTGTTTACCTTTCACTTGATTATATGTGACACATTTTTGGATTTTACAAATATTTCGATAAAACTTTGGGCATTGTCTAGATAAATAAAACGAATCTTTTGAAGTCCAGCTCAACTCGTGAAGAATGTTTGTTCATTATATGACACAATCATACTGTATCAGAGGCAAATCTTTACTAAATAGTATCTCGGCACACGTTAAGCGAAGAAAAAGCTTTTATTATTTGTGTGTACAGTAGCACTTACGCAATAAAATCAAAATCTGAGAATATAAATGTTTTGTCTTTATCAAAACCACATGCAATAATATCTTTGGCATTTTCATAAGCTAAACGATTTGTTTCATCCGCTGATAAATCTTTCCATAAAAATTTTTCATCATCTGTCATTTGAATCACGAGTGGTACATCAAACACATCTTGTAACCATCTAAACAACAGCAAACAGTCTTCTTTACAAACAAGCTTATCTCCTCTGCACCTCAACGAGATCCTTTCCACTCTACTGGCCTAACGGTTGAGATTCTCTCACTAAGGAATATCTTGAGGATCTCTAAACAACAACTGTACTCAGTCTCTCTCACTTCTTCAGTTAGAAACATAAATGAACGCAAAAACATGATAGAAAAAGCCTTGGTTCATCTCGTTTGTTCGAGTCATCGACTTTAGCAAATATCTAGGCGCTTTTCTATCGACGTATGTTAATAAATTTCTCCATAATACATAAATCTAGAATATGAGTCTCATCTCCATCTTAGTAGTGCAATTTCTGCTGATCATCAATCGTACCTCGCACCTAAGGGAAAATATAGGATCTGATAAAAAAATTTTTGTTTTCCAAAGCTGTTCAAAATTGTATTCACTGCCACTGAATGTATGATCAACATATTTACGGAGGCAAGCATCATTTCTCTAATTAGTAACGATGGGTAGTGTCCACTCACTTTGTCATAATAAATGGTACCAGATGTCCGAGATGCATCGCATCTGATGATGGACCACGTCCAGTGTACAGATAAAACGGTTTTTTCTGTTCATATGCAAGCAAGATTTGATCCACATCTCTAAAATTAAAAAAGAAAAAAAATAGGATATCTAGTTGATTAACAAATCGTGAACGGCGCTCTATCTTCTCAAACATGTTTATATCTCTTTAAAGTTAGTTTCGTTTATAACTGTTCTTTTCAACTCACCATCAAGTTACAAATATCTCACTCTTTTCCCAAAGAACGTATTATCAAAACAATACTTATCCTAACAGTCTCCCTCTCCAGTTCATACCTATGTGAAAAGAAAATTCCTCGTCGAATAAAGTGATGTACTGGTTTTTGGATGATTCTTTCAATTCGTTTTACTAAGTCATCGGATACTTTGGAGGAGCCAAATCTTCCTAGAAAAACAAACAACAGGTGACTCCGCCAAGCACAGCGCCTATACGTACGAATCAGTTTATCATAATCGACACCCGTATTTGATCCAGCTTTGACTTCCCATGGATTGACAATATCATCGACATTTGTTGCTTCGTCAACATAATCATTCACAGGTGGAACGTGGTCGGGTTCATTCGTTGTGCTCATTATTTCTGTTCTAAAACTATGAACGGAACAAGACGATAAATGTGAGCAAATAGGAAAACTAATCAGCAAATGTTTGGGCTAGCAAGAAGACGAGAAAAGGAAAGAGTCACCAAGCACTGAGTAAACCTAGGTTACTTATAACGGTTTCAACTTCAAACAGACTTGCCCCTGTACAAAATACAATCAGAAATGTCGTGGTGAAGAAATTAGCAACTTTTCACGAGCACCATTCAAATGGACTTTTCCTTCTCGCATGTTGGAAAAGGTATGCACTGATTGCAGGTTTTCACCAGTTAACTGTAACTGTTACATTCCTAGCGCAAAATACTATATATATAATTAATACAGTGAATATTTATCAAAAACAGGTTCAGGCAGTTAAAAATCTAGTCAATCAAGCTCGATCGTTTACTTCTGCCAGTTCTAAAATGAGCTTGTTTACGTATATATGAGGTGAGAAGTAGACGCAACAGGAAGCACTGTTAAATAACACCCATCATACACATTTCATCAGCCTCGAATGAGTTTGACTATTCGCACATTGCATCAGCTAAAACAAGGAACAAAAGTAGTGGCACCGATGCTTTTCGTATGCCTCTCCTTCATTGAATCGAGAGAAGGGCAAGTTGGTCTAACATCACTTCAATGGTCGTTTCACGTGCGCAGCACTGGGCCATCCCACAGTCTATTTTGTGCATGAAACTTTTGAAAAATACATATGTATATAAAAAAATGAACGGTATATGCTGGATCGTGCAATACATATTTATATTAGTCAACCTTTGTGTCAAATAAGAAACTATATTACGTGCTGCCGGTCGTTCGGACAATCACAGACACTATGCTTCGAGTGCTACGAAATGGAAAAGGGATACAGAGCAAGAGAATTGTATAGTTCACAGCTCTTTTACGAATTCCTATGCATCTGTCTAACCGGACAAACCCAATATTTATAATCCTCACATTATGTGAGGTGACATCTACCCTAGTCGAGACTCCCGGCAAAACTCCAACGGGACTCCTGTCACGAGGTCCTGCGGGATCCTCCAGGATCCTGTAGGAGTCAGGTGGGACTTTCAAGGGATTTCTCAGGACTCCTGAAGACTCCCGTGGGACTTCTGTGGAGCTTTCGAGTCCTGCAGGAGCCCAACGGAAGTCCTCAGAATCCTCAAAGTCCCACGGGAGTCTTCAGGCGTCCTGAGAAATCCCTTGAAAGTCGCACCTGACTCCTACAGGATCCTGCAGGATCCCGCAGGACCCCGTGACAGGAGTCCCGTGGGAGTTTTGCCGGGAGTCTCGACTAGGGTATGCATCAAGCTTTTTTTAAAGTGTACAACAGAACGTCGGACGATCACGTCCTCATTAGACGTTTTCCGCCGAGTCAAAACAAAATCGTCTTCTTCAAGTATTTCGCAACATGATGCATAAAGGTTCGAACTGTAATATGGATTTTTGACAAGTCCAGTGAGTCAGACAATTCGAAATCGTTTATGAATAGTTGCATTCGAAAAGTGAGCAGGGCGTCCTACAGTTGCGGACACTGTAACCACGCGTAAACTCTTTCTAATCAGTTATCATCCCGAACCGAAATGAAGTCATCTTTAATCTCGAAGTGAAGCACTAAAACTATGTTAGATATATGATAAGGCCTTATCCAGACTGCAAAAATTAAGTGACAAACTCGTAACCGTATTGGATGAAAAAGTGAATTCCAACTTAAGTCGTTGTGCTCGACATGACTTAAGTTAATACTTAAGTGAGAAAAGAGTGTAGTCTGGACAAGGCCTAAGTATATAGATTTTAATACTGTTGTAACACGTATCACTGTTTGAAAATCAGGAAAATTAGCCAGTAAAAATGGTATTTCTTAGAACTCGCAGATTATCCAATCCGCTATCTGATGAGACGATAACGAGATTATGTAGGATTGGCTTTGTTTCTGGAAGTGTGTACCAGAGCTCGAGACGAATCGAATAATTCGGCATTCAATTCGATCCGACCTTTAGCCGGATCGGATCGAACCGAATTTCATTTAAATCGAATCGACCTAAGCAGTTTAGTTAAAGAGTATAGTTGTTTTTGTTTATCAAGGTAAGAGCCTTTTGCTAGGTTCTTGATTAATAAGCGCAAAAACTTTCTAAATTTGGCTCGTTTAGTGAAACGATATTTTTTGATTCTTTGTAGGCTAGTTGCGGTGGTTCGATGATAAATAAGAAAAAGTTGAAAATAGAAACTGTGACAGTTTAAAAGTTGAAAACGGTTTTGAACTTTTGAAAAGTGAAAATGAATCTTCAATATACACAGTACTTGATGCAGTGACACACCTGTTGTCGTATAAATGCCCCAAATTAGAGGTGGATGAAATCAGCTGTCCTTTAACGTAATGTATGAATATAAACTCTTTATCACTCACCTGCGCGAGAACGACGATTTACTTATTTTCTGTCACAATGAAGAATTTCATTGTTTTACTTTTTTCTGCTGCCTTTTGGTTTGTGGCATGTTCATCAACAAAATGTCCATTTGTCACCGACTTTCTCGCTCGTTCACCGTATTTAGCTGAATTCAATACTCAGCTTTATCAAGGTGTCTGGTACGAGCTAGCATTTTATGATTACACGCAATTTAGTGTTTGTGGTTGCACCACATTCAACTGGACACTGAATAGCGATAGTCAAAATTACACGGACAGATTTATGACGATGTGTCCCTTGAATCCAAAATGGTTAAGAAAACAATATGAAATAACGATGCATGGTACTATTGACGAAAAATATAAGTTTCTAATTCCCGAAACGGGTTTCAATATGCAATTCAATAACACAGTAAGTATTTCTACATCGTGGTACGGGTCAGCATGCCTCTTACTATCTTGTAGGTCGTGTATTTTCGAATAACATTAGTCGGCGGTTATGATCGGGCAATACAATACCAATGTAAAATGGAGAACGATGTCCGAGTATTTACGGGTATTAACTTTTTGAGTCGAGACCATTTTAATTCGGACAATGAAAGACAGCGGGCTGTCGATGAAATGAAAACAGAAGCCGAGAAAGTCGGCATTGAACAAGAATATTTAGATCAACTAAAAATTGTTGGATGGCAAACATGTTAGCAGATAAATACGGCAACCGCTACTTCGAAAGACTGTTTTTCTTCAATAAAAATGAAAAATATTGGTATGTTCTATGATCAGGTCAATTCTGTCAAACGTTAAACAAACACTTTGTTGAAAACCTTTGAAGTTCAACAAGGAGGCCGTATAAGCAAAACGACTTTCAAAAAGTTTTTCTTATGTAGAATAATAAGTAAGCTTAAACTAGCTTTTCGAAACATTAGCGATATCCATGATGCGAAAGAAAAAGCAAAAGCAAATAAATTGCTACAAATGTTCTTTTAGGAGATGTGCTTATCCTAGGAGTTTTAACAAAACTCTCAAATGAGAGTGTATAACGTGGTGCAAATTTCCAGAAACTACGCGAATTCTACATAATCTCATTATCTTACCATCAGATAGCGGATTGGATAACCTGCGAGGTCTCAGAAGAATCATTTATACTGGTCAATTTGCCTACAATTCAGGGTTATTCTTTGGAGAATGTACAACATTTACATCAATTTTCTGCTAATCGTATAACACTTTCAGAACTAGTAGAAGTGATCATGGTGATTACAAAAATTATCTTAAAAAGTTTTCAAAATGACCGCATGGAGTTCCTCGGACGAGGCCCTGAAACACTTTCCAGCAAAACTGTTTTTGCCATAACTCTGCCATTTCAAAAGATGAAAAGTTCAAACTGATTTTATGAATACTACTCACCAATATGAACATCTTTTGTAGCAAATACCCCCAGTGTTCTGTTTTTTTAAGAAAAATGCGTATTGATGTTTATGGTGTCCTTGCGAATTCTCTATTATTTTGTGACTAGTTAAGGTCACCATCTAGGTTAGGTCACGATTAAAATGTAATATTTTAATACTATCAAGGATATGGTGGATTATCATATCAACTGTTCAGTTACTGCGTCATCTACTTAATGATTATTTGATTTCCATCACAATGATAAATATATTATCTCATTGATAGTTCAAGTTAATTAAACATTGAAAATTAGTGTGTTGTAGCCCATTTAGTCACGTATAAATATTAAAGTCATCATGCGTAGATCAATAGTATAGATTTCGAATATCAACCAAGACATTTAAAGTATTTGCTGGGATAATTTATCCATTCTTTGCTTTGTCAATGCCATCATTTAACAAATATATATTGTGTTTTCATCGTTCTTGCCATTTACAATCAATATATTTCTGTACGAATGTTTTTTTCAGCATAATAAATAGTTCATGAAGAACTTCGTGTTAGCTCAAAACTTTGTTGTAAAATATTAAAGTGATCAAATCATCAAAATTTATCCGAAAAATATCAAGGCTTATATCAAGATTCAAGTCCACAAGTCATACGCCGACCGACACCAAGTGGAGGAGTCATGTATAAACAAAACATCTTGGTTCGATTCTCACAATCGGGTAGTTCTTTTGGACATGTACCGCATTTAAATCAACTTTCTGCCAATCGTATAACACTTTCAGAACTAGTAGAAGTGATCATGGTGATTACAAAAATTATCTTAAAAAGTTTTCAAAATGACCGCATGGAGTTCCTCGGACGAGGCCCTGAAACACTTTCCAGCAAAACTGTTTTTGCCATAACTCTGCCATTTCAAAAGATGAAAAGTTCAAACTGATTTTATGAATACTACTCACCAATATGAACATCTTTTGTAGCAAATACCCCCAGTGTTCTGTTTTTTTAAGAAAAAT